TATGCAAAATGCCGAGAACAGAGCTGAGCACATAGTGTACACGCACTGCTATCTATTCTTTCTACACATATAGTTATATACACCTTTCTTTTCCATTAAATGATTTCATATTATAAATGCTGTTTTGTAGCCTGCTTTGATCACTTAGGAATGGGCTGCAAACATATTCCTGTATTCATAAATATCTTTTCACTATACAGAGAACCCTCAGGTGTGCTGCTGCAGATAGTACCTCAGCACAGGTTGCTATGCTTTTATAGCACCCGAACCTGCCACTCTCAGCACAGCTAGAGGAATAAGAATCAGCAGCTGGGGCAAAGGCACAGCAGGCATCTTAAAAATGTCCAGAAGCTGATGATGGGGCCTGGCAGCTCTGCCCAAAGGTCATAACTAGGCAAAACCAATCAGAGCCTCTCTTAGGAAGACTGAAAGTAAGATACATAGAGTCAACTGACAGGTTAATGGTGCCCAGGGAGGAAAAACAAAACAAAAAGTGGTAAGCAGAAGCCAGGAGGCTGAGGTTAGAAAGGCAGCACCTCCACATTGGAAGGGAGGGACAGGGTCACCAGTGCAGTGATCAGGCTGCTTGTGCTACATGGCATTCCCAATGTCCACTTACCATGAGCAAGACCTGCCTGTGCACTGTGACCCAAGTTTTCATTTCTGCACAGCTGGCTGGGCAGCTGCTGCAATACTATCATATTCTTTCTTATTTAACTGAACGACGTGTAGGCACGTTCACTCCTAACAACCTGAAAGTGCCAACTCAAATGCATTTACGTGGCTGCTCTAGAAGTCACATTAATAATAGTAATAATTGTAAAATACAAAAATTGTGTTTTCTTAAGCTCTTGCTATGTGTTAAGCACTAGGGATTCCAATAGTGAGCAAGAAAGAATGGCACCCGATTACAGAGTGTAGAGTCTAGCCCAGAAGACAAGCCAAACAGTACCAATAAAGGATGATAAACTCCATGATGCTAGAAGTACAGACTGCACTGGACACACAGAAAGAACAAGTTTTCAGGGTGGAATCAGAAAGACTTCATGAGAGAAGTTAACTCTTAGATTAAGGCACAAAGTTAGCCAGACGGTGCAGACTACTCATTCAATGCCCATTTCTACCCACGTGGACTCCATGACCACCCGTCTTGTGAAGTAAGAGATTCCTGAGAGACCAACAGTGAACTGGGTCTATGTTTCCCATCAGGCCACTCAAGAGTCCTGACCTCATTTAACAGGGAGGGCCAGTTTCTTTGGTAGGTAAGCATCTTTCAACACTGGAAATATTTACCATGAAATATAGAAATCAAAATCATAGTAAATTCTATATTAAGAAGACCAGACATATTTTATAATGTTTAAAAGAATTTGGCCTATTAGCTCTGGTTGGTGTGGCTCAGTGGATTGAGTGCCGGCCTGTGAACCCAAAGAGTTGCCGGTTGGATTCCCAGTCAGTGCACAGGCCTGGGTTGTGGGCCAGGTCCCCAGTATGGGGCACGGGAGAGGCAACCACACATTGATGCTTCTCTCCCTCCCTTCCCCTCTCTCTAAAAAAGTGAGCAAATAAAATCTTAAAAAAAAAAAATTTGGCTTATTAGATTGTAACCTCAATTTTGAAAGTGTATATTAATTTATTATACTTCCTGACTTAAGATTTTAAGTTGGAAATCTTAAGTTTACATACACCATGGGAATATGAGGGGGGACCTCCCAAAATCCTGAATTATCTTTTAGAGGACAATGCCCCTGTAGGACAGGCTTCCCCCACTAGGTGAGTATTCTAGGAATCCATCTGTAACAGTTGACATTGTAAGAGGCTGCATTCAGCTTCAGTGAATTTTTTTGAAGATTCTTTCAATGCATTTGTCCATTTCACGATGGGAGATTTACGAGTGCATCTGCCTACACCGCACTGCATGCTCAGTAGTTTTTGACCAAAACTGGCATGATCCCCATGCTCCACCCCCCCTATTCATCTGATCTGGTCCTGAGAGATTTTTGTTTTGTTTGTTTCCCTGAATGAAAAAATTTCTCAAAGGGAAACTGTTTGCTGATGTGGAAGAGGTGAAACAAAAAAAATGGCAGAAGTACTAAAAGGCATCAAAATAGACACGCTCAAAAACTGTTTTGAGCAGTGGGAAAAAGTCTTGACAGGCATACTGCATCAAATGGAGAGTACTTTTAAGGTGACTGAAGTTTAAACATGTAAAACAAAATGCACAATTTTTTTTATAAATTCCAGTTTTTTTGGATCCCCCTCATATTTAAAGAATCTAAGATTCACCTTATTTGTAAGTTTACTATTTGAGATTCACAGGATGTTTCTGTTGAATAGTTTTGTAAGGCCTTTATTTTTTAAGTCAGATAACTGAAATTCTTTAAAAAGCAGTCAAACATATAAAATCTGTAAATGCAACTTGAAACATCTGAAAGTCTTCAATTAACTGGTCTAAATATTATCCAAAAGCCTCTTACAAGTGACTAGTAGCCCTGCCTGGTGTGGCTCAGTGGATTAAGCGCCAGCCTGTGAACCAAAGGTTGGTTCGATTCCTAGTCAGGGCATGTGCCTGGGTTGTGGGCCAGAACCTTGGTTACGGGCGTGAGAAAGACAACCAGTACATGTATCTCTCACACATTGTTGTTTCCCTCCCCCTCTTTCTCCCTCCCTTCTCATTTCTGTAAAAATAAATAAATAAAACCTTTAAAAAGAAAGTGACTTGTAAAATCTCCTCTGCTTACAGAGCAATCTGATCTATCCGCATTACGGAAGTACTAACTTTCTGAATGTGAACAATAAAAAAAGGTAGTAACATTTTGAAAACTAAATAAATCCCTGAATAGTGACTTCTGTTTAATAAAGCTACCCTTTAAGGGCAATAGAAAACATCAACCTATATCCTCTTCAATTCCAAGTCTTATTCTCTGTTTATAGACATGGAATTGGAAAAACCAACCACTCCATTTTATTTTGAAGGAAGCCACTGAAATGTTTGGTTTTGTAATGACACATTTCTTTAATTTTAATTGTTTGTACAAACATTTGTATTTGATAAATTATTCTAAAATCCAAACATAGACATTTTTTTATCCTCTAAATATAATGGAATAAAGTGCAAAGTATGATATGACTCTCCTTGGACTGGAGGAGAAAATTTTACTCAGTCAGACAGGACTCTTCAGGATTGAGAATGGCAAGCTGAGTTTAATTTTAAACTCGGGATTCCGTTCAAGATAGGAGGTATATCAGATACTGGACATATGAGAAATTTCGTTTAATTATCTGTTGGATCATTCACTTTCTCATGTACTAAGCACTCTTTTCCTACTTCATTCTATTCTCCCTTCTACCTACTGAAGGGTGGTGCATACTTTCCAGCCCTATATGCTGTCCTACTCCCTCACTGTATTTCTTATGGCAATCATCTAGTTTTCTACATCTTAGCTGCACTCACATAAGGTAGGGACAGTTCAGCCATAACACTCCAAACAAAAATAGTAACAACAACTAATACAAACTTTACTGAGGCATGGCCAAATCCAAATATCCTCTACAAAGGTAGAGCTGTCAAGAGTTCCCCCCACAACTCCTAAGACCAAGTAGCAAGTTTGGCACAAGGTCTCTGAACTTTTTCCTATCTTTCAGTTCTAGAACCATCACTCTATTTTAGGTCTTCCAACATGTCTGAATCCACAACTGCCACAATACTCTGTTGAACACCACTTTTGCCTTAAGTGTCTTAGAACCTACCTACAGGAGCCAAACAGATTTAAATCAAAAGGATGCGGTTGAGGTCCACCAACTACCCGACTGCACTTATTTGAAGGGTCAAATCCTTAGGATCCTCCAAAAAGAATGCTAATAATTTTCATTTGGGGTATTTCTTCAGGGTTTTTATTATTTCATCTGTCACAGAGGCACACAATAATTACTTTCTGTTCACCTAGCTGTGTACTAGGCACAGAAAGGGAGGATTTAAAGTAGGAAACATAATCTCTGTCCTCAGAGATTACAATCTAGTTATAGATACCAAATATATAATGAGAGTGACACAAGAATTCCTTGAGTATTCCAAGGTTAAGATTAGCCTAAATGGACTTCATCAAGTGCTGGATCCAAAAGAAATGGAGAATTTAGACTTGTTCTAAGTGTCATTTTGTGTGTCCTTAGAATCAGTCTTACATCCCCTCTGAAACAAGGAAATGGATCTAAAAATACTACTGAAGTGATGGGGGGAAGTAAATGGGAGTATTGAAACTTACACTACCAATCAGGAGTTCCTAAATGAGATAACAGAGCAGAACATGGTGTCGCCACAAGAGGCTATGGGGAAACATTAGTTCCTTCCTCCTGGTTTTGAGTGCATTCTCTCTCTTAGTTTCCCCAACCTAACTTGTAACTCTTGAAGTAGGGGAAGAAGGGCCTAAAACTTTACTTCTTCTAACTGTTTATCATAGAATATTTAGTTGGATATACTGAGCATGGCCCAGAAACTCAATACATGTTATGTTGAATACCATATGATTAAACTTTTTAAAAAAGATACTATTATCTCTCAAGCTGCACCATTAACAGCTTCTGGCTAACAGAATTGTTGCTTTAGCCACTGATTTAAGGCCAGGACTGAGGAAAAATAGGACAACAAGGGTTGCTTCCTCCTCATCCAAAGATAAATGAGAATGAGCCATTTCTACCAAAACAGCCTGCTCTTCTTATTTCTTAGGGCTGATGAACTATTTGATTCTTGATCTGCCACAGATAAGAGATGCAATGTTGGAAGAGATCCAAGGGAAATCACAGAGCCCTCTCCCTGCATAGAGCAGTGTTTGATAAACATTACCATGACAGAATCTGATCGGAGGAGGCACATGGTAGCTGTTAGATGCCTTCTATGATCATGAGTATGTTTATCAGTGAGTGGTAATAAATGAAAAACTACACACACACAAAAGGTTCATGATTATAGGGTACACCATCCTCTTTTTTTTCTCAGCGCATACCTCCTCACAGACTTCACGAACTGCTGCCACACTTGGCTCCTCCTCAGGCTCCATGCCTCCTCCAGGGACAATCCATCGGTCTGGATGGCGACTACTGCTCACGAGTAGCACCTGAAAGTCACACAGGTCACACAGAGGTGATTAAAAACCTCAAAAAATACATTCATACAAACTGAGAGTTTAAACACAAAAAAAGTGAAAGTACCTAAGACCCCTCTATTTATACCTCTCCAAATCACTTCTTCTAAGGCAGCTTTCATTTCTGTTTGAAAAAGTAGACCATCTGCCTAGTAAAAGCAGAAGGGCATCTAAATCAGTGGCCACTACCTCTGCCTTCCTCTCAGATTCTGACACTTGTCCTATCTATCCCCTCCTCCATTCCTTTCTCTAAAGCCATGTGAATGCAGAGCTGACAAAAAAATTTTTTTTAAAGATTATCTGTTATGAGCTTGTGAGTGTTGTGAAGGGCTGGCCAGAAGGAAAGAAGCCTTTAGCCATGGTTGGTGCCACAGTCCCAACACTTTCCCTCCAAGGTTTTCACTCCTGTGTGGCCTAAGCTCCTGCTCCATCAGATGGCCAAAGGTCAATACAACATGCCTTCCTAGGTTCTAAGTGTGCACTGAGAACCTAATTCTCTTATCTACATGAGAAGCAGAAAAATTTCTTTTCATCATGCCTTCAGCTGAGATAAAATGATTTTTTACTAAGAAATTTTATTAATAAATAAAAATAAAAGCAAACAAAAAAATATTGATATAGAAGACAGTTTACTAATTCAAATTTAACCAGCCTTTTAGTCATGGCTGAAATAAAATCTGAAATTTTCTTGGTCCCTCCTTCCTTACCCCTCTCTAGGACAGATGCTAAACACAGCTGCATTGATTTGGGAATAAAGTTGGACTAGCATTATTTCCAAAACTAAAGGAATCCTCAGCTGCTCCGTAAACCACCACTTTCTGGTGATGTCTTTTGAGCCTTCATCTTTATCACAAACCATATCCCGTCCCCTATCCCTTTACCTCTAGTCCACTCCACCACTTAATTTCTATTCTGCAGTCATCCTTGTTGCCTGAAAGAAAATATTATTTCCTGCCCTGACTGGTGGATCTCTGTGCGTTAGGAGAAGTCTCGCATGTGGAAAGGTCGCCAGTTGGATTCCCAGTCACGGTACATGCCTGGGTTTCAGGTGCAGTCCTTGGTTGGGGCACTTACAAAAGGCAACCAACTGATGTTTCTCTCCCTTTCTAAAATATATAAATATAAAATAAATACATAAAAGTATATAAATATATATGTAAATGAAAAAAACTTCCTTTCTAGCCCTTAGAGATTCCACCCGTGACTTCTGGTTACTTAACTTCCAGTCATCTCCTCCCTCTCCCTTGACGTCTCTGCAACTATGAGCCCTTGGAAATTCTACCTTTTCCTTCAGCCTTAATCCCTTTACTTCCTGTCATCATCATTGTTCCCCATGGTCCTCTACAGAATCTGTGATCAGCAGGACCAGAAGGGACCAAAGATTTACAAGAAGGAAACCCATTAATCCACACATAGTCATCAATATATAGTCCACGGGAAGCAGCCAAGATGGAGGCGAAGGTAGATATACTTCGACTCCTTGCACAACCAAAAGAAGGACAACAATCAATTTAAAAACAGACAACAACCAATTTAAAAACAGAAAACAACCAGAACTATCAGAAAATCGAACTGCACAGAAGTCTGACAACCATGGAGCTATAGAAGAAACATTCATTCAGATTAGTAAGAGGGGTGGAGACAGGCAGCTGGGGTAGAAAGGAAGTGCAGCAAGGAGTGGCTGGTAGACTGGGTGGGCAAGGCAGTGGCTGGCAGACCTGGTGGTCCTACATTCATGTGGAGATAAGAACTGGTAGGAACAGCTGGGGAGTGAGCAGTACAGACCGTGCAACCCAGGGTTCCAGCCTCATAATCTCTGGCTGTAAAAATCTCTTGGGAATTAAAGCCTCATAACTTCTGGCTGTAAAACCCTTTCGGGGTTGCAGAGGCAGAAGAAACAGTAAGTCTCTCAGGAGAGTCCGTTTGAGTAGCCCACGGGGTCCTGGAATGTACCTTGCCCACCCACCTGGGAATCAGCACCAGGGCAGCAACTGGAAGGGTGCCTGTCACTTGGGGGAAGAGAGAGAAGTGACTGCAAGCAGGGTGAGAGCCAAGCAAGTAGCATTTTTCCCTCTCTGACCTCTTCCCAATATATAGCACCACAATGCAACAAAGCAGGTTGCCCCATGCTGACAAACACCTAAGGCTCCGCCACATACAACCTAACAGGTGCACTGAGAAAAAGAAATATGGTCCAAATGAAAGAACAGATCAAAACTTCAAAAACAGATTTAAGTGACGAGGAGACAGCCAACCTAACAGATGCACAGTTCAAAATACTGGTAATCATGATGCTCAGAGAAATGACTGAGTATAGACACAAAATAAAGGCAGAAGTGAAGGCTGAACAAAGTGAAATAAAGAAAAATATACAGTGAACCACCAGTGAAGGGAAGGATACCGGGACTCAAATCAATGGTTTGGAACAAAAGGAAGAGACAAATATTCAACCAGAACAGAATGAAGAAACAAGAATTTAAAAAAAATGAGGAGAGGCTTAGGAACCTCTGGGACAACTTTAAATGTTCCAACGCCCAAATCATAGGGGTGCCAGAAGGAGAAGAGGAAGAGCAAAAAATTGAAAATTTATTTGAAAAAATAGTGAAGGAGAATTTCCCGATGTGGTGAAGGAAATAAGACATACAAGTCGAGGAAGCTCAGAGAGTCCCAAACAATTTGGATCAAGAAGAAACACACCAAGACACATCATAACTAAAATGCCAAAAATTAAAGATAAAGAGAGAATCTTAAAAGCAGCAAGAAAACAGAAGAGAGTTACCTACAAAAGCGTTCCCATAAAACTATCCGCTGATTTCTTCAAAGAAATCTTGCAGGCAAGAAGGGGCTGGCAGGAAATATCAAGGTCATGAAAAGCAACAACCTACATCCAAGATTACTCTATCCAGCAAAGTTATCATGTAGAATGAAAGGGCAGATAAAGTGCTTCCCAGACAACATAAAGTTAAAGGAGTTCATCATCACCAAGTCTTATTATATGAAATGTTAAAGAGAGTTATCTAAGGAAAAAAAGATCAAAACTATGAACAGTAAAATGACAACAAACTTACAACTATCGACAACTGAACTTAAAAAAAACAAACCCAAAAAACAAAAACAAACTAAGCAAACAACTAAAGCAGGGACAGAGTCAGAGAAATGGAGATCACATGGAGGGTTATCAGCGGGGTGGGGGAAGGGTGAGAACGGGGGGAAAGGTACAGGGAATAAGAAGCATAATTGGTAGGTAAAAAACAGATGGGGCAAGTTAAGAATAGTATAGGAAATGGAGAAGTCAAAGAACTTATATGTACGACCCATGGACATGAACTAAGGGGTGGGATGCTGGAGAGATTGAGGGTACTGGGCAGAGGGGGACAAAGGGGAGAAAACAAAATGGGATAATTGTAATAACAATAAAATATACCTAAAAATATATAGCCCATGGACTGAGGAAATGTGTTATAGTTACAAATACTATTTTTTAAATGTACGTAAGTTCTGCTTTAATACAATGCAAAATAATTTAAAGTAATATAAAATTTACAGTAGTTTTTGGTTGGTATATACAGGGGCTGGCACAAATAATGCCCCTCTTTATTACAAAATCTTTTATTACAAAATCATAAGCATGTGATTTTATTACAACAATATCACACTCAAGCACACCATATGCCTTTCAAGTGAAATGTTCAAATTAAAACTATAAATTATTACACCATATGATTACCCTACTAACCACACTCAAGCAGGCATTACTTCTGCTGGACCATATATACATATTTATTTAACCAATGGATAGTAAAAATACAACAAGGAGAGATCCAAGATGGCAGAGGAGTAAGTGAAGGCTACATTAACCTCTTCTCAGGACCAACCTGAAATTGCAACTAAATTGTAGAGAAATCATCTTGAATAACCAACTGAACACTAGCTAGAGAAAGGCCTTACAGCCATAGGCTGACACAAGAAAACACTTCAGCACAACGTGACTGGTAGGGAGTGCGGAGGAGACATAAGAGGGCTGTCTGGGCTCCCACGGGCGGCAGCTGAAGTGCCAGAGGGATATTTCAGTGGCCAGAGGGTTCCCCCTGAGAAGTGTGGGGTCTAAACTCCAAGCTGGGCTCCCCAACCTACAGCACCAGAGCCAGAAATGAACCCAGATAATATTCAGCTGTGAAAAGCAGCAGGGGTTCTGTCAGCCAGGGAGAGAGAGCTGGAGATGCAGAAAACCTTTGAAAGGGCCAAAGCACAAAATTTCATTTGCAGCCACTTACCCTGGGTGCCAGCAAGGGGAGGGCAGAGTTGACTAAAGACACTTAAGGACAGCCTGGGGTTGGTGGCTCTGATGAGAGAACTGAGGGAACAGCCACCAGGGTCCATGTGCTGAGTCATGCTCATAATGCAGGAGCTATATCAGGGACAACACTCCTCTATAAATGGCATCAGCTTGTGGGGTAACAATAGCCCTGCCCACAGGAATTACTCTGCCCTACCCTGCGGTGCTTAAGCCTGACTGCTGATCACAGGCTGATTAGATTAACAAATGGATTGCTTTAATGGCTGATTAGTTTAACATCTAAGGCAGAACATGCAAAGAAGAAGCCAAAATGGGGAGGCAAAGAAATAGACCCCAAATGACAAGAACAAGAGAACTTTCCAGAAGAACTAGATGAAATGGAAGTAATTTATGAAATAGAGAGTTTAGAGTAATGGTTATAAGGACACTCAACAGGATGAAAAAAGACACAGAAACCATAAAAAAGGATCAGTCAGAAATAAAGAATGCCATATCTGAGATAAATAATATACTGGAAGGAATAAACAATAGGTTAGATGAAATAGAGGACTGAATCAGTATTTTGGAAGACAAAATAGAGAAAAACAAACAGGTAGAGCAGCAAAAAGAAAAAAGAATTTAAAAAAATGAGGAGAGCTTAAGAAACATCTTGGACAACACGAAGGATAACAACAGC